CTACAAATGTTACAATCAATATCTTTTACTTGCCGCCAGTTCCTGCACTTCAAGTACATTGACAAAAAACATAACGCCACCTTATTCTCCTTGTCTTTCCATGTAACCATACCAAACACGAGATGTCAATACGACGGTCCTGGGGAAATTTATATGAGGTTATGAGAAACTGAGCCTCACATAGTGGCGCCAAATTCAAGGATTGGAGCCAGGATATCATCGATTAATTCACTTCCTACAAGTTTCCCAAGAAGGCCAAAGAGCGTCAATTAGAGAATCTGACGTCAAGGAAGGTGTCCAAGACGGTCAGAGGAATCAACACCGTCTTCCAACTTCAACAACAACAACTCCAAGCTGATAACATGGAGATTCCTGGAACTAATGGGTGCTGGCAGCGAGGGCGGCCACCAGCTGCAACCAGATTCGCCAGCAGCCTCTTCATCTATCCTTCAGACAACACCTCACATCCTATCCCCTTGGTATGCCGCGATGCCTTCTCAGCCACCTGCTCCAGTCTCAACTCTAAATCATTTCTCCGTTATCCTCCATTGCCTGCAATCTCCAGGTACCCTGCAGCAAGTCTTCGATTCCCCAGCCCCCACCTCTTCAATCTGTTCACAACATATCAAAAGTATACTGTCAATGGCGACGTCGTTTCCGAAGACTTTGCTATTATAATCTGTTACTAACCCGAATGCCCCTCATAAACCAGCTCATCCAATTAAGATCGTGCATTTCCTCGATGTTCAACGCCTCCTGAAAATTTGCTGTTTAACCCCCGTAACTGTCAGTGACAGGTTTTAAACGCCCTTGCAGGCCATTTCCAAGGCCTCCGCCGTGGAAAACTTTGCGTCGTAGGGGAACTGCTATCCTGCAAACAAGCGTCTGAGGTCATTCTCAGACTTCACCGCGCAAACTTAAGGACCTATATAGCAGCCGAGGGTGGACCTATGTATGGGCGATCCTGTAACATGCTGAGATCCAGCTCAAGATGATCTTGCTGATAGGTGTGCACGTGACGAGGACCTCTTTGAAACTCCTCACCCTCGACGCCGCCTCTTCCCTCCCTGCCGACTTCGTCCTGTTGCCGGGTCGTATGAGGGGACCCTGAAGAAGCTGCCTCCAGCCCCCCTGTCACCTCATCGCCATCTCAAGTTCACGCCGTCTCCCTACCAAGAAGAATCCGCGCTTCAGATGCTGGTAGCGTCCTCTCAAGCCAGTCCACAGTCACCAGTTTCTTCTCCCGAATCCTGCAGAAACTGTCCAGCGCCAGCACCATGCGTCCAGAAAGTGCCCTCTGACTGATGATAAATGTCAGAAACTGCGGGTTTCAAGGCCATTGCTTCCCGCACACAACTCGATGTCCTGCCAACAAGGTCTCATGCTTTGCAACAAGCAGGAACCGCCCCTTCCAGAATGTTGCAGGTCTGAAAACCTCCATCTCCAGGTCAAAACGTCTTCACAATGACAGAACGTCCACACCACCGTCTACAAGAACAACAAAGAGATGCCGGCCAGTGGATGATGCCTCCCAGTGGCAGGTCCCCAAAGCCCACGTCAATGTTCAGAAGCTCTGTCTTCACGGTACCAACTCTTCCAACCTCCTGATGATACCTGACCGCAGCCTTGGACATCTTTTGATGATGGACCAACTTACACCTGGACGCCCTCAACATTCCCAGGAGATGGCCTGTCACCCACAGCCATTTCAGCGACGTGCTCACAGCGGACCGGGTCCCAGGCTCTCCACCTTTGGGTTTGCTTCAGAGCAACTTACTACAGCTCAGTCCCAAGTCTTGGGTGCTACAGTCCATGTCCGCCCAGGGGCTCAAACCCCTCTCTTGTCATGTGGCCCATTGTCAGGGCTTGGCATCGTCTCATCAAGTTCCCCAAAGACCCATCCTGGCCAGCACACCTCAGCAGGTGTGCAGAGATACCTGTTTCATGCCACTTGTGACCACACTTGCTGCCGCCGGGGAGTTCTTTCTTCGTCAGTTCAGCGACGTCCTTGTCTCAAGTCCGACCTCCAGAAAGGCGCTCAAGAAGATGATATAGGCCCCCGATGAGAATCCACCTCAAGCCTGCCAACGGCGCCTTTCATATCCACACGCAGGCCTCTCGCTTGCCCTGCAGGACAAGGTGAAGCGGAGCTCCCGATTCTCTGGTGCAGCAGGGATCATCGAACACGCCGGTGAGAGCCTCCAGTGGTGCCACCCCCACTATGGTCTTGCTTTTAAGCCTGTAAATTGACCGCATCTCCTGATGGATCTGGCCCATCTCTTCGCAGGTCCGTGCGCCCATCCTCGCCTCGGCCCATCAAGTAGTCCGCCAGCGTACCCCATCTGCAAGTTCACCACGGCGGATGCGCACTACGCCGTTACTACAGCAGAATCGACCTGGCAGAAGAAGATCGCCCACCACATTCATCACGCCCACGGCACGCCCGACACTGCGCGGACCGCATGGGCTTCGCAGCAGCAGGGGATGCGTACTGCCTCCCGTGGGATATAATCTACGAAGGGTGTCACCAACTGCATGAAGGTCGTAGATGACATCTGCTCTTCTAACCCGATGATCTCGGCCCGCCAGACCGGGTTCATCCTGATACTCCACAAATTCCTCGTGCCGCCCGACATCACCCTAGCAAAGATAAATTTGTGGTTTACGCCTCTTAGAGATTAACTACGCGGCTACAACATCTCGCCAGAGGGATCTCGGCCTTCTGATGTGGGGAGAGATTAGAGCCATCAGAGACTTCTCCAGCAGGCTACAGCCGACGCCCGGCTCGTTTAGCAAAACAATAAATCAGCTGGCCGGCTTCTCCCTAAAAATCTTCACATCAGCCCAACCTCGCCCCTCGCGAATTTTAAGCCTCTTTCCTCTGGACTCCTGACCACAACCTAGCGTTCAGGAAGGTCTTAAAGAAGGCGTTGCTGTCACCACCAGTCTTGGCACCCGCTTCGACCGTCCTTACGGTAGCGATCCTCAGACCGACGCCTCCCGTCTACTCCGGCCTCGGATATACCCTCCGGCAAGATCCACGGCCAGGGTAGACTGCGCTTAATTCAAAATGTAAGCAGGTTTTCGACGACCACGGAGACCGAATCGCCACCATCGAACTAGAATGCTGGCAGTCGCCTGGGCTGTGCGTACCGCTTTTACCTGTTCGGCCTTGGGCATTTCACCCCTGTATTGGACCGCCATCGCTCTTCCATCCTCAATCACTACCACGTTGGACGCCATCGAAAATCCTCGCCTCCAACGTCCTCCGAAGACACCCGCCCCTCGTACTTTACACAGCTGTGTGGCGCGCCGGGAAGCTTCTGGGCATACCCGACCTCCCGAGCCCTGTTAGTCGCCCCACTGAAGATAGAAGTCGACACAACCACCACAGCCGCGGCTCACGTTAGGTCTTTAGTGACACACACAGCCACTTCTCTTTGCGGCAAAGGCAGCGACGGCGCCCTCCGCCAGCGATAGGACTCTCAGGAGCTTCGCGCCGCCGCCGCTTTCAAGACCCGGCATACGTCCAACTCCTCGACTACGTCTCCGCTGGATTCCCCCACCAACGCTCTGACATTCACGCCTCCGCCTCCTTCTGGAAGCTAAGGGGATAGCCTCTATTTGGACGGAAACTGGTGTTGCTCTGCAACCCCAGAATCGTCGTTCCGCACTCCGCGGCGCATTATCGCCTCCACTGACAGCCACGGCGGCGTTGGAAGCCAGCCACCAGGCGCCGAAGCCCGTCGAGGCATACTGGCCTGATGGCAAACTTTCTCATTAAGAGTATGGTGGAAGCCTGCCAAGCCTTGCCAACGCCAGCCAACCAACATAAAACCGTGCCCTGGCAATGACCTCCCGAAAGCGGCCTTTGGTCCGTGTCCGCGACTCTTTAATGTGGCGGAAAAGTCTTTCCTGGTGGTGGCCGACAGGCTCTCTGGATGGCCGTGGTAGTTCCCTGTGGTCGGGACACCACCTCTTCCCAGAGGTCATCCGGATGTTTTTGTTGCTTCTTCCGAGAATCAGGTGCCTCTACGCCTCCAGACCGACAGTGGGCCCCGTTCAATAACCCACGAGTTCAAGAAACTTCACTTGGCGAACATGGCGTCTATCGTCACCTCCTCATTACCGCGGCGATAGCCCGCCAAAACGGCGGTAAGTCCGCAAATACCTCATCCTCAAGACAGCACCGGCCAGAGGACCTGTGGACGCGAGGAGTTCGACAGGGGCTTCACGGGAACTCCGTCTTTTACCCTGCGAGACGCTCTCCTGCCAGGTGTCGTATAGCCGCCCCCTTCGTAACCATGTGCCTGCCCACCCCCAGTCCTTCTTAGATGAATGGCAGATCAAGGCGGACGAGTGTGACCGCCGTGAGGCTGCCCGGATGGCCCAAGTGACAAGCCACTATGGCGCCCACGCCCGCCCCCTTCCCAGGTTGACCGTCGGCCAGCAAGTACGAATCCAGGACCCGACGTCACACCGCTGGGACAAGGTCGGGATCGTCATGGGCCGTGGCGAGTCTCGTTCGTACCAAGTCCGCCTCCCCAGTGGTCGTGTGTGGTGGCGAAACAGACGCCATCTCCGCCCAGTGCCATCCTCTAGTGACGAACCTTCCTCCCCGTCCCCTGTGTCCCCTTGCCCAGACCAGGAACGAAGGTCGTCAGTTGATCCTCCCATTGTCCCTCGCCGCTCCCGACGACTCGTGGAAAAAGAGTCCGTAGCCGCTCGAGATTGCACTACGAGCGTAAAGGGGGAGGGAGGTGTAGAGATATGTAAATACCAAGATATGTGAACACGCCTGACGCCAAGACTCTGTTACCATTCATTGTACCATTTATTCACATGTCTGTATTACTACATATTATTATAGCATGTCTGATATCTATGCTTATGTCTAATGCCTATGTTCACTTACTATGTCCTGATGTACTATGTCTGTACCGCGCTAGTCAAGTAACTAGAAGACCTCATTTATTGTCCTAATAATGTCTAGCAACTCTCCTTGCCTAGCTAGCTAACTTCCCTCAGATCGGCTTTGGCCTGGCTACGGCACGGAGTCCTTTTTGCTTGTCCCTGTTTTTCTGTACCTGTCGGTTATCCTGCCAAGTCTTGTACTACTTATTGAATATATCTACTGCTCGTGCCCTGGAGTTCAAGAACCTTGTCTAGGATTTCATCCCACCACAATAACTACCTGTTTTATACCTGTTTTATGGGCTTTTGAGTGTAATACGATTCATGTGATTGTAAGTTAACTAACATGTATGACTGTGGCAATTACACTCTAATGACATAACAGCAGGATCCTTGACTTCTGTTTTGATACATTTACACTGTCCTCTATAAATTTCCTTGTAACTACAGTAGATGGAAACTTCATGCAATTTACATAAATTCCTGGAAGACTTGTCGTCCTGATTTCCCATCTGTACGTGTCACGTTGACCTATTCTCGTCATGAGTGCTCATAGTCAATTTGAACAAAAACACAGCAAGAACTATGAATATTTCTCAGGTTTTGTGCCCAGTGTACAAATGTCTCGCTTATAGGTTCCACACGTCAACCAGCATGACGCCTGCAGAGATCCACCAACTGGGCCTGGACGAGGTGACACGCATCAGGGGTGAGATGGCCAAGGTAAGTCTCAGAGTCAATCAACCACACCTATCTCATTTTTATATCTATATGAATGATCAGAGTAAATAATAGTAACGAGGGTAAATTTTTACTTTCAGACAAGAGTCCCTAGGGGATGACCAATATGTTTTTCCAGTGTGTTTTGGTGTGTTTTAAACGAATCTGACCTTCATTTTTGGCGGAAATTGCTCGTTTTTTACCCCCCTCGCCCTCCCCATCGATAACGGGTGAGAGCCTGTGAAATCGGGATTTTGGATGGGGGAAATTACGAAAACGAGTCGTCTAACCTAACCAAACCTAACCTAACCCTTAGCCGGGGGCTCCGCCCCCGAACCCCCGGTAGGCTTAGCTTAAACTAACCAAACCTATCCTATTCATTTCGAACTAATATAAATGGGGTTCAAAAGACCCAAAATAATGAGATCTAAATGTTTTAGTAGTTTTAAACTTTGCGGGGCGCCATGTCCGAAAATACAATACGTTCGTTAGAAGTGAAAGGACCAGGGTCAACCTCTAAATTTACAAGTCAATTTACAGTGCGGGCATTCAACAGACGTGATTACGTAGGAATTGGATAGCTTGGACGTCTTTCTCGTAATAGTAGAGCGGATAATGGAAAAATCGTGCAAATGGTGATACAAGCATGAAATTTGGCAAGGATCATACCCTAGGGGCTACTTGTCAAATCTGCCTAATTGGCCATTTGGAAATCTAAGATGGCGGCCATTTTACAAGATGGCTGCCAAATTGACCTTCGGAAGGTGATTTTTTTTTTAGAAATTGATGAAGTTGGTCAATCTAAATGATCTTAGTGTCGATATATATGTTTTCAAGCATGTTCAGGTGATTTTTTTCTATTTCTCATACTCTCATATATATATATATATATATATATATATATATATATATATATATATATATATATATATATATATATATATATATATATATATATATATATATATATATATATATATATATATATATATATACAGTATATATGTCTTATTTATGACTGGTTTTATGTACTGGTTTTATGATTTTTTTCAACTAGGTGAGGGTAGCATGCCCTCACATGCAGAGCATGTGAGGTAGTGATTGTTGGGCACTACCAGGGCACATTGGTGACATCACTGCTGTGCAACCCAGCATGGGATTCAGTGTCAGCTAAGAAAAAGCATGTCATACTGCAACAGCCTAGTGTCCCAAATGCTGCTTAACCAACCCCAAATCAGTTAAGCAGCCGCACCTGAATTGACAGGATGTGCCAGCGCGGGAGAGCTGAGCCAAGGATAACGGGGTTTTAGTTATCTGGATGGTGTACAGATCGCACGGGACTAATGACACTGGATGAACGATCGAACTAGGTGTAGGGCAAAAGGCATGAACCTAGTTATATCCCATCCAAGAAAGTGCTCATGAGGGTGGTAAAAGGATAAACCCTCGGCCCTGAAGATCAAAAATAGTTATGGACACAAAATCTACCAACAAATCATTCCTCACTGACTGGGCAAAGTGCTGTCTTTGTCAATAGGATAAGAAGGAAGATCTTAAGTCTCCACATGCAAATACTGCCAAAAAAGGAGATGACGGTTACAAGAGCTTGGCAAGGAATATTCCTCTATTTCATTCAATCAATGCACTGCCAATCAAGCTTGACCCTGCAAGACTTGTTGAAGATGATGGAATAAAGGAGACCTTGAGGAGAAACAAGGCACAGTATCATGAGAGTTGCAGACTTCTGTTCAACAACACAAAGTTAAATAGAGCTCAGAAAAGGCGAACCTCTGCGGTTGCTACAGAGGAGAGCAGCAGTAGCAAGATACCACGAATGGTCAGAGACCCCAAAGCAACAGAATGCTTTCTATGTGAGGAGAAGCTTCGGGAGATGACATAAGACATGCAATGATAATGAAACTTAATAAAAGATTGAATGATTGTGCGAAGACACTTAGCGATGGAAAACTCCTCGCCAAACTAAGTGTAGGAGATGTTGTGGCACAAGAACTGAATTATCACCCTCGCTGCCTGGCAGACCTGTACAACCGAGAAAGAACACACCGAAATGCTCATGAGCAAGAAGAAGCACAAGAGCTTCATCCGAACAAGGACGCATACCCAACTGCTTTATCTAAACTGGTCACTTACATCACTCATAGGATAAGCTTCTAGTGAAGGTACTGAACCACCCATTTTTAGACTTGCTGACCTGGTCACACTCTACAGACAAAGACTTGAGCAGCTGCGTGTTGGAATGCCCGATGTTCATGCTACTCAACTGAAGGACCAGCTGCTTTTTCACATCCCCCAGCTGCAAGCTCATCACCAATTAAGAGATATCCTACTGGCCTTTGAGAAGGATGTTGGCTCAATCCTGGCACAAGCAAGCAAATACAGTAACGCGATCCATCTGGCCAAGGCTGCTGGGATGATACGACGGGACATACTTCAGCACAAGTCACACTTCAGCAGTACATTTCATGAAGGACGCATTGAACAGGCTGTTCCACCATCACTGCTTCAATTTGTATGCATGATCAAACATGGTGCAGATATCAAATCCCAATTCCAGCATGGCATATCGAAGTCTGACCTTGCTATGTCACAGCTCTTACAGTACAACTGCTTTGTCAACTACAAGGTAGGAACACAAATCCACAGACACTCCAAGGACCATGAGACACCTTTTGCTATCTACGTCGGCATGTCTGTGTTTGCTAAGACAAGAAAGAGGCAGCTCATTGACATGCTGCATGAAAATGGGGTCAGCATTTCATATGACAGAGTTCTACAATTATCAGCCCATCTAGGAGACCACAACCCCACTGCGACTACGGCCAAAACGTCCTTCCATGGGACCAGTGTGTCCACTGTCCATCTTCCAACATCCAAGCCCTGAGATGTCCTGTCACTTGGGGATGGATGCAGAAGGGAGAGGCATGGCAGATGCGTTGGACGACTCTTCCCCAGATTGCGACGTGCTATCAGGAGCTGACCAAATGTTCCTGGAAGAAAGACTGCAACCAGATATGAAATGCTTTCGCTCTGGACTTTCCTGCACAGCACTTTGCAGCTGCATATGTGAACAGCAGTAAATTCACAAAGATGTACTGTTAGGAGATGTCACAGGACATGCTAATAGTGAGTACTTTTTTTTTAGTAAATTCTTTTATGTTATTTTTTTTTTTTTACTAAAAGTGTTATTTTATGTGGATAAAAATGTTACAATGGACTTAAAACTATAAAACATCGTCTGAGCATGCTTGAAAACATAAATATCGACACCAAGATCACTCAGATTGACCAACTACATCAATTTCTATGAGAAAAATCATCTTTTGAAGGTCAATATGGCGGCCATCTTGAAAAATGACCGTAATCTTGGATTTTTAAATGGCCAATCAGGCAGACCATGCCAAATTTGGTGCTTGTATCACCATTTGCATGCTTCTCATGAAAAATTGCATTTAGCTGCCCCACTATAAGGCTCAGCAATAAACTTAAAATAATCGTAGGAGCACGATTCACATTCAACCTCTACCACGGTCATTGTCACACTGGTCATCGAAATTGAAATCCTTCAAATCCGTACCCTGGCTCCTCCCTTTGAAAAAATTCAATTTTGATTTGTCAAAAAAATTCGCATGATGACATCGATACATCATTGGTCACGACGGGAAGACGCCACGCATGCGTGATGTAAACACGCCCATAATTAGCTTGCTTTCACTCTTTCACGACAATAACATCTCACATAGATGAAGACTGAAAAGTACGTAAAATCAATTAAATTAAATTGTGTCGCTATTACCCATTTCCACCAGATATACTGTATATGGGATTCAAAGTGTTCAGAATAGTGAGATCTAAATGTTTCAATAGTTTATAACTTTGGGGCGCACTATGTCCAAAAGTAAAATAATACCGTAACGAGTAACAGTATATCATTGAATGCAGACTGTGAAAAAGTAATTGTCCAGACAAAGGCTCGAATCTGAATTATAACACTGCATTCCTTAGGTCTTAACCCATTAAAACAAGTGTATTCCTGGTTTGGCTTTTTTGGCTAGGTTTGTACCTTACGTAAAATGACTAATCTTAATCTGACAGATCGTTTCAGAGTTGGGCTACAACATGTCAGTGTCAGAGTTCTCAGAGATGGTAAGGAAAGACGCCCAGTTTCTCTATGACAACCCTGAGGCTTTGTTTAAAGATTTTGAGGACCTCGTGTACAACGTCATCCCCCTCAAACTTCCTGAAGTCTTCCTGAATATTCCTAAAGCGAAGTTGAAGTAAGAAAGAGTCCCAGGTGTGGTGAATAACATTGTCTTAGTGATGAGCATGTTGTGTGTTCAAAGGGTGGCCAGGTCTAGATATCGCATTGGAAGCGCTAGTGTCTGAGTTAATGTATTTGGCTTATGGAAAATTTCGAGATGTTTCAAGAGCCTTATTACATAGTCGTATCAAAAATCAATGCACTGTATATACTATAGTTATATCATTACACACACAGGGAGAATCCATGACTATTTGTTATATGTTGTACAGGATGGAGCGTTTGTCCTCACCTCATAGCACCACAGCTTTTTACTCTGTTGGAGCTTACGACGGGTCTCGCCCCGGCGTCTACTTCGTCAATACTTTCCACTGTGACAGTCAGTGAGTAACTTTACTGAGCAGCTATCTTTTTTTAAATATGACGTATTCCCTAAACCTTACAGCCTACAGTGAGTCATAGTAGTTAGGTTAGGTTAGGTTAGGTTAGGTTAGGTTAGTAGGGTGTGTCATAGGAGGGAAGATCAGCTAAAACTAATGGCCCATCACTTTTGTTGTAGATTTTAGTGTATATAAACAGAAAATAATTTCAGTTTCAATATTTTGCAACCTTTTGCTAGGTAAATTTTAGCGTGAAATTTATCGAAAATCTAACGTACAGCTGCATTAGTGCATTACAATTGAATAGAGAACATTGCTTTCTGACTTCATTCTTTAACAACCCAACTAACAATATTTTTTTCTGTTTCCGATTCTGATGCATTTATAAGTTGATAATATTTGCGATGGCTGCTTGTGTCAGGACGAGGAACCAAAAATCCAGCCATCTCAGTCACTATCTTGGGTCTGGGAGAGAGCTCCTGAAGTCGGAGTTGCTACATTGAGAGATGCTTTGAGATACGGTGTTTTAATCAGACAAATCAGTGAAAAGAACCAAAGAACTTACACAACAAAAGACATTGCCAGTGATATGACCAAAGCTGTCTTGGCACAGTACACTCTGGCTAACGCTCAGTTCAAGCCTCCAGTCATAACAAGTCAGAAGAAGATTAGTGAGAGACTGCTAGCCAGTTGGGAAAAAGGCAAGAGATATCTCTCTTGGGAGAGGAAAACTTGCAGTTAAGGACAGCTTTGCCAAGCAACTGGACCAGTTATTTGACATAATTACTTGGAAGTGCCCAATTGTTCTCTGTCCTGAGTGTGGATGCGATCGTGACTGTAAATCCGAGGCCCACATCTCCTGTATTTGCAAGCGTGAACTGAAGATTCCTGTGATCGAACTGGCATTTGTCAAAGCACAGAGAGAGAAGACTGGCAGTATAGGGGCTCTCATGATTTCTAGCCAAGATATTCCGGAGTCCAAGAGACAGGAGGCTGCCACAGAGAGGCAGAAGAGGAGAAGAGTTGCCGAGGAAACGAGACTTGAGAAGGCCCAGGGTGAGGTAAAAAAGGCCGATGATTGGAGTCAAGCTGATTCAGAGTTTAATTACTTCCCCATGGCTGATCCGAGTGCTGACCAGGAGAATGGTGACTTTGTCCCTAACCCAGAAAATAATGATCCCAAACCTTCCAGGCATAAGATTCGAAATAGGAAAGATATCCCGAGCATAGCTCTGGCCAGCATGCGACACCACACTGGTCTCAGAGAAACTGCAGAGATAGCAACAGCTGCCTGGATTAGCGGTGGTTTGATAACACCTGATGATGTTCACCTGGTGATAAATCATAACAAAGTAAGGAGAGCTCAGGAGAAACTTGTCAGTAACCTAGAAGAGGAGTTTGATAAGGGGATAAGAGAAAATGGAATCAATTGTTTGTTCTTTGATGGGAGAAGGGATGACACTAAAGTGTTCATTAAAGTTGGAGATTCTGACAAGTTGTTCCCTGCCATGGTGAAGGAGGAACACTACTCCTGCTGCAGTGAACCAGGAGGGAAGTATTTGTGGCATTTCACTCCAGAGAAAGATGACATCAGGAAACCAGCTGAGATAGTGGCAGATAACATTGTGAACTGGCTCAGAGAGAGGAACGTAGACCAGACCCTGCAGGCCATTGGAGGGGACAGCACCAACACGAACACAGGGTGGCAAGGGGGGTCATACAGTGGATAGAGCGGAAGATTGGGAGGAAGCTGGTCTGGATTGTTTGTGACCTCCACACCAACGAGTTGCCACTCAGACATCTGATCCAGGAGCTGGATGGCAAGACTCTTTCAAACAACAGATTGTCTGGTCCTCTTGGCAAGATGCTGGACTCTGCCACTGAGTTAGAAATAAATCCGAGCTTTGAAAAAATCACAGTTGGCCCTCCACTCGTTGAGCTTGCACATACTGTCGTTGACGACCTGAGTACTGACCAATACTATGGTTACATGATTTGCAGTGCCATCAAAACTGGGGTCATGCCTGATAGACTTGCTTACCTGCAGATAGGTCCAGTCTCACATTCTAGGTGGCTCACAACGGCTCTCAGGTTCTGCAGAATTTGGGTCGCTCATCATAAACTGAAAGGGAACCAGCTTCACAACCTGAGACTTATTGTCCAATTCATCGTGAGTGTCTACTTGCCAAATTGGTTCAACACCAAGGTCAAGTCATCGTTCTCCGAAGGTCCGAGGCATGTTCTCTTCCAGCTTGAGCTCCTGAGGAGTCAGCCAAGGAAGGTTGTTCAGATTGTGGAGCAGACTGTGAGGAAATCTTCCTGGTATGCTCATCCCGAGGCAGTTCTGCAGACAATGCTCTGCAGTAAGGATGAGGAGGAGAGAAGAGTGGCAGTCAAAAAGATCTTGGATATGAGACTTATGAGAGGATCTGGGCATGATGAATCAGTTGGTGACGATTCCTTCAGGGTCAGGAAGGCTCCTGAAGTCAATCTAGGTGTCAAGACCCTCACTGATCTCATAGATCTGGATAACATCCAGGCTGGCAGTGAGCCCCCTCTTACCTGCAGCCTCACCAATGTTCAAGTCAGAGCTTTCCTGGACAACCCCATGCATGTCCCTGCCTAGCCCGCGCACACCCAGAGTATAGAGCGTTGTGTACAGCAAGTGAGCGAGGCCAGCAGTCACGTGTACAGCCAGGAGAGGAGGGAAGGCTACATCCGAGCTCAGGTGGTCAGCAGGGAGGTGATGAGTAGAAACAGAAGCAAGAAAGACATGTTCTCTATGGTGTGCAGCAACACCGGGTTGTAGTAGTAAAACCGGTTTTTGTATTTGATGATTTTGTTTTCTAAAGGAATATTAAATTTAATAAATGTGTCAAGATCATTCGTTTCACTATTCTGGATCATTTTCATCCTAATACATTAACCTGATACATTTACTTTACTCTAAATAAGCTATTTAGTGGTGTTGGTAAAAGGGTGGGAATACTGAATTTTCATAAGATTTCAAGTTAAAATTTACCTAGCAAAAAATAAAAACTTTTCAAATCTGAAGATATCACATGATTCTGCACATAGAACTACATCATTAATACCATGGGCCGATTTTTCAAACTCAAAAAAAAAAATTCGCCTCCGTATGACACACCCTATTAGGTTAGGTTAGGTTAGGTTAGGTTAGGTTAGGTTAGGTCATTACATGAAATATGTTAATCTTGATAAAGAGATCCCCATACGAAATGAGGTAACCTTCGCATATTGCTAGAATGTCACCTACTTGCATTAGTATCTTTAACTCCTTGAAGTAGCATCAATAATAGTCAGAAAATATCCAACTCGTTTCGACTAAGACCAACTAAACTGTATATTCTACTTCTCAGACCGAAGTACGAGATGATGACCTTATCCCTGCACGAGGGAAATCCAGGTCATCACCTGCAGGGATCACACAGCATGGAGTCTCCTAAAATCCCCTTCTTCAGGAGAGTAATGGAGGACCGTAACTACTGGCAGGCACCTTCCAGGTTCCCCATAAATACAGCATACTTGGAGGGCTGGGGTCTATACGCAGAGAATCTTGGTTTTGATATGGACCTTTTCAAGAATCCTTATATCAGGCATATACAGTACTGAGAGACAACACTAAGTGTAGATGAGAAGAAATCGTTGAACACTTTTTGTTTGGTTAGGAATTTGAAACTGTGTAAGTAGATACACGTACTTTGTGTTATATGACTTTCAGGCAAGTCTTACGATAAATAATTGGTTCTGATATTTGTAAAGCCTGCCTTGGGCACCATTGCAATGGGTCCCTCTGACACCATTGTAATGGATACTCTCGGCACTACTGTATAAGTTACTTCACTGTCTATAAATTCAAGCCAATAATCCAATAAGTTCTTTAGATACAGTCCATCATTATTTTACATGTAACCTTTTACTTTTTCTAACTGCACTTATTATGTAACTGTGACAACATGTTTACCCAGTCTCAGAAGAATGCGGATCGAAACTTAGTCTTTAGTAATGGAACACAGGGAGAAGGAAAGTGAGAGTAAGAAAAGGATGGGAGGCGAAGGATGAGAGTCCGTACTGACTGTCCTTCGTGGTAAGGGATGTTTATGGGTTGTTGTTGGGGAAATTAGGGCAAGTAGATGTAGGATATATAAGTCATGTTAGGTTCTAACGGTTAGTGCAGACACAACTTCCATTACTAAAAACATAATAGGTGCATGTAGCACTGACCTAGAATTGCAATGTACTGAGTACACTGACAAAATTATGATATTAAGCACTGGGGACTTAGCACTGTATATACTCTGGGAAGAGAGTTATTCTAGTAGAAATGCGCACATACATCGATGAGAACATTTACTTGAATTGTTAAGATGGCACACTAGGAGACTTCATGCTCTACTACATGGGTCTCTTAAAGAGAAAACTTAATTTGAATTAAATTAAGGGAGAGACATGGGATTAAATATCGCCGGCACCAACACAATATACCGTGTTTAACTAAGGAGAGGACATATAAATACGTTAAGATCTCAGTCACCAATATAAAGATTACCATATCAGGGGATGGGGGTTGGAGGGCGGGTGTTAGGTATTATTGTACCTGGAAAATGATCACTTGTTCAGCAAGAGGGGAGAGGCGGGTTTACTTTAAGTACGCCATTACCATTGTAATGACTTGGGAAGAGGGAGAGGCCTGAATTTACTTTAAAGCTACTACCGCCACTGTAGAAGCATGGGTTTACTTGACTTGCCAGATGTAGTGACTAACCGGAGACGTGGATTTACGTTAACTACGTTTCCACCAATGGAATGACTAACAAAGAGAGGGTTTGAGTTTAGTTTAAACGCTGCCACTGATGTAATGAATGCTTTTGGCACCATTGCAATGGGTTCCTCTGACACCATTATAATGGATACCATTGGCACCATTATGAAGATATAATGAGAGTTATAGTAGGAGGGATTGCAAAGTAAGGAATTTGGTAGCGTGGCCCAATAGTTATATAACGGTTGATATGTTATGAGGGGAAATCTGCGAAACAACAATTCTAAGTATAGCTATTTATAAGTTAACTGAATGACATGGACACATTAATAGATGATTATATTGATGTTTCCAGATAATGACGCCCATATATAAACCTGACATGGATACACTTCCCACTAAAAGTAACTCACCCTATGGATCGCCCTCACAATGACCTACGTGTGACCTGTGGGAGGCCCAGCAGGGCCTGGTACTGCCGGGAAGAGTGGTCCTCCCCATGACTCAGACCTGCGTGTGACTCCCACTAATGCTGGATTTTGTCTCTCCGTGAAAATGAGCTGTTGGCCTCTTTTATTCGGTTTTTCTGGGTCACAGTACTTTCACAAATCGATCTTATTTATGTTAGTTTAGGGTGGTATATTTTGTTTATTGTAGTCCTGTTCCTGGCACGACCCCTTCTTCTTACCGGCTGAAGGGCAGTGTTTATTGAATTAATAGGGTCATGGTGCCTGTTCTCTCATCACACGGAGGCGAGAACTAATTTCCCTTCGTTAACCTTGTTGGGTCAGATCTTTATCTCGTTTGATTACTGTAGGATGGGTCGAGTTAAGTGGGTGTACACCTGCTTCACTAGTTACTGCTATATGTGTTATTGTTCTCCTTGGCTGATCGCTTGGTATACTAGTAAAGTTATTTAAATAAACAGTGTCAAAGAACTTTTAAATATGACCAAAATAATTAAGGTCACAACCGGGAGTTATTTCTGGAGACTGTGGCTCTGACCGGTACCAGGTTTACTCTTACTCTAGTCACAGGTTCAATCCCCGGATCAGATGTGAGAAGGGTGTGATCCAGTTTGACTCAACTAAGCATGCCAGGCTTTCTCTGAGTACTGTACTCAGATTTCCTAACACTGTACAATGAAGTGATCAGATGTGCGTAAAGAAAAATGCACCGACCACCCTACCGGCCAGTAAGGGAATGTTAAAAATAAATAAAAAAATTTGGGAGAATGATTAACAACTAAAGATCATGAACTTCATGGGATGCACAATATGAATGAAGACAGATGGGTATATTAAGTTCACAACATATTGTCCCTGGACAGGTGTGGCCACTATTCTTTTGAGATGTACCGAGCATGTCGCCTGGTGGTGGACACGGGTCTGCACGCCTTTAGCTGGACCCGCCAAGAGGCCGGCGACTACATGATCCACAACACCGCCTTGGCCAGTGTTAATGTAGAGGTGAGTCATACTTATACTGATTATATATCAGGAGTTTTATTTGACATGTATGAAGGGGTTAGGTTACGTTACGTTACGTTACGTTACGTAGGGTCGCGAGGGGCCTTCAGACAATTTAAAAAATATAGTACTTACCATATAGTCAAGAAAATTTTTGCTTAACCTTATAATATATTATATGCCTGAGGGTTACGACTCCGTATTGTTGGGAAATTTAGGGTAGCAGCCAAAAAAAGGTTGGAAACCACTGCGTTAGGAGAAAAAGGATGGGTATTGTGAAGGTATATGAGCCTCTGACAAGGAATTTATGAGAAATAACACAATTTGTTTTAATGCGGTAGTGCTGCTGATCCTGCTATCTACTGTACTAGACCAACAGCATGGGCACTGATGGTCACTGCATAAAATTAACTGGGTGCCTCTGTAATGAGATTGAATTTTTTTTTTACACATATTAGGTGCAACGAATTTGTAAGAAATAGTGATATTAGAACCAGACGTGAATAGCTACCAGTAAATCAGCAATTAAATTGGACAAGGTTGAAGTAGTTTGGGCATGTAATGAAGATGGCAGACAGCAGAAGACCCAAAAGGACGAGGGTGGAGAGGCGTTGGAGGGCTGACGAGGATAAGAGACCCAAGGGGTGAGAAACGCTAGAGCAGCAAGAGGGATGTATCAGACCACAGTGACTGGAAGGAGATAGTGTTGGTATCTTACTACTAGAGTGCAAGGGTTAGAGACTAGCACAACAAAAATTTTCATTAAGAACATTTTTCTCTTATTACTGTATTAATTCTTGGAAGTGGACAAGAACGTTATGAGGGCGATTAACAGACTGAAGTACTGTCTGTATGATTTTATATCCGGATTGCATCAATACTAAATCCTGTCGCACAGTCTATCTTGTTTTCTTTTCATATGTTTACGCTTCATATCTTGATACACTGTAGTAATGTTATGATGTTGCAGAACGAGGTGGACCGGTACATCACTTGGCCAGGTCAGGCGCTGGCCTACAAGATGGGTCAGCTCAAGCTGACGGAGTTAAGGCAGAAGGCCGCCAGTAAACTTGGCTGCAAGTTTGACATTAAAATGTTCCATGAAGTTGTGTTGGACTCTGTGGGACCTCTGGACCTAGTGGAGGACGAGGTCATTGCCTGGATTGATGCTGGTGGGAAGTGATAAAACAGACCAACGATGTCCAGAAACGCTTGAAGTGGCAGGTGTAATAAAATGGGAAAAGTTATCTTCCTGTTTAACATCCTCAAGTTCAAGTAAATAAAAGGTGATTACTTCACCGTGATTTTTTTGAATGGCACGGAATAAATGTAAATACATCGAATATGAATTGATATGATAATTATAAAATCATGTGTGTGAATTCAGTGAAGCAACTGCAAAAGATGTTTCTGGGTGTCAAGAATCCCTTTCGCCGCTTACCAGAGTCCACCGCTGGTTACCAGTGGCCAGGTCGTATATACAAAAACAGTAGATATATCTCAAGTGTCGTCGAATTACCACTAGCTGTTCCACCAGTCCCCGTTAATTTCCCGACGATCGGTATCAGTTGTTACGCCGTCTCTTAATTGACTTAAATATCCAGGTTCTAGGCGTAACCAAACAAAAAGTGAAGTAAATTAAAAGAGAATAAAAATAAAGTAAACCTTTAAGAATTTAATTGATTAAATGTTAACACAATAAAGAGCCTCGTAGGCTGTCACAACAAATTGATTCACCATCGAAACTTTTAAGACACAAGTGATACAAAACATCGAAACATCGAAAGAATAAAAATAGAGCATTGGATTACGTTAACACTGCATGATAATTATACATTTATATGTCAAGGAGGTAATTTCGGTCCTTGTAGTTTTTTTAGTTTTTTTTTTTTTTTTTTTGTACAGTAATTCATTTGTATTTTACGATATCTCTTAATGGGCACATATATGTGCACGATATATATATATGTACACTCTCCTAAAAAAGTAACAGTCCCTTTTCTCATCCATACAATGTGTCACAATGAACGAATATTTCCGATCACTAATTGTGATCATGCATTAAGATGGTAGGCCTGCCTTCCTAGTATCTGTAAGGTTGCCAGTTATTATTTCTAGCATTTGGTGTAAGTTTGGTAAATAACCGTACTCCATCTTTAGTAGAATATTATAATGATATAAAAGTGGCGAAAATATATCAACAGCAATCAAATAGTGGGAGTTTTCTGCTGGAAATCCATGACCAACACTAGTACCCAAGACTCATTGGAAAACACAGCTTGGTCTGACAGACATCGTCTGGTACTGTGTATCAGATAATGTTCCGTTGCCAACACGAATCATGAGATGATACGCTATATTCAAAATTGTTACCTCATCAATTGAGGTAGAAATTATATAAAAATTCAGTAAATCATGTCATTGTAATTTAATATGGCATCATACCAACCGAACCGAGACTGCTGTGCACGTGTTATTGCGTTCATTCGCAAATACATCAGGCACAGGGGGGGCCAATTCTTTTTGGGGAGACTGTACATTCACAATCCAAAGTTTCGACAAGCTCCCTGGCTGGGTGTTCGCCGAGGCCAGGGTTGAGATAAGGCTAGGCGATCGGACGCAGACATTCCACCGCCACAACATTCCGAGACTCATAGCACACGAGCACATACAGTGATTTACTTGCATATGTATATATATATATGTAACCGGTCGGAATTTGCTGGACTTTAATTTCTCACTTGACTTGGGGTTTATTAAAAATTAATAGATGGTAATGGCAGTGGAAGCGCCCCTTTGAGAAAAATCCCGAACCAGCACAAGAACACTTAAATCTACTACACAAAATGAATTGTCCGTGACCCGTGGAAGGATAGCGTCTGTGACTGGGATGAATGAGACACACTGTAAAATTTAGACACTTATATTCCCTCCAACACTACAAACACAATCAAATAATGGTACACCAATATGCGCACCTCTTAACTTAAACTTAAACACTACTCGGGGGAATAAAAGTTATACATGACATAGAAATTATTAGAAACACAGGCAACAATAAATTTGAAGTAGTAAGAAATGTTGCTTGCACACATGAACAGGCCTTAAGGCTTTCCACAAAATAATATCAGTCACTTAGGAAATGGTACTAAAAAATAAGAAATTAAATACTCCACAATGAATAGGCCTTAAGGGTTTTCAACAAAATAATATCAGTCACTGAGGAATGGTAATAAAAGATAAGAAATTAAATACTCTACAATGAATAGGCCTTAAGGGCTTTCAGCAAAATAATATCAGTCACTGAGGAAATGGTAATAGAATTTAAGGAATTAAATACTCTACAATGAATAGGCCTTAAGGGCACTCAACAAAATTATAGCACCTCAACAGATGTACACTTCCTAACCTAACCTAACCACTACTCTGGGGAACAAGGTTATACCTGAGATCAGAATTATGAAGAACAATTAGAGGCATTAAAAGAATCAAATCACAGTATCACTCTGGTTCCACTTAATGGCACAAACATTCAAAAAAACACTACTATCGAAATTATTTAAGAAATATTAAACTACACACGTCAAGATAATATCAGTCTGAGGAATGGTGTTAACTACACCCGTAATAAGGAAGATAAAATGTTCCTCTAGGTATCTCCTAGAGTCCTAGACTCACGGTCTCAGTGTGTGACCATTAATATACTCAGATAGCCTCAGTGTACTCCCAGTGCGTCCATGGGCAGGAAGAGAGTGAGCCAATCAGACCTTGTGCAGTTGAGAGAAACTTTAGCTTCCCGTTAGCAAGAGGGTTTCACTAGCTGACCGAGGACACGTGGTGTTGTGCACCGGAGTGGTAAGAACTGATCACCCACTGCCGATGCTGGTCCCGTGTCGTTTTAGTTGTCGGGAGCACTCGTTCACTCAAGAGATCCTTTGCTACCCCGCTAAACAGTGACAGGCCTACACTGATCGGTCCAATGGCGACAATCGCCACCCTCAATCATCAACGGCAGTCAATCTCTCGCAGTCAACTCCGGTCAACTCCAATCAAGTGGGTTCTGACGGAAACCCTGAAATGAACTCACTGTTAGCTCTAGTTTACTTTATCACTGCCCTATCTAACCCTGTCTGAGATCGAATGAGACTTACTTGTTATACTGCAATAGCGCAGCACAGGTGACTAGGCCACGTGACTATTTCTGATGGACGCGCGGAACGTCTTGTCTGTGTGAATGCTCTCCGGGACTGGGCCTAGCCAGCGTCGCGTCTCCCCAAGGCGCTAGCTTGGGCCTACGTGATATATTTTCCGCCTAACTAATAACTCCTTGGGACACCCGTAACATTATTCAGACTGCTAAACGATCTATAATAATTTCAAATTCAATAATAGTCCCTTAACTTCATGAATCGCATCATTATTAATTCGGTAAATTACATTTAATATCATATAGGCCTAGTTCTGCAATCTCTCGCTACGAGCAGGCAGCGCTCCCTCCCCTCAGATGACCTTGAACGCTCAGTATCACTCATGGCGGGGCATTTGAAATTACTCTGAAATTTCTGCATATTACATATATATATATATATATATATATATATATATATATATATATATATATATATATATATATATATATATATATATATATATATATATATATATCATTAGCCCATAAAGCGTGCAGACTTCTACATATAATCAACAACCTCACCACGCTAGGACACGAACCCACGATTTTATGTGTGTGACCGGGGAACACTACCTCTAGACCACCAGGACACGAAAAGCATTCCTAGACTTTGTTATATTTCACACAAAGCCTGTTCATCGAGCTCATGGAGCCGTGAATCTCCAATTGGGGAAAACCCGTGCCTCTTAGGTGATCAGAGTAAAGTTTTACCAAATCCGGCTTCGAAACACAAGGTTCCATTGTAAAGGCCTGGGAATTAGGGATAGAAATCCCTTACCAGACCAATCAGGATCTTAATAAAGGAGAGTCAAGGACCATGGTTTTCTGAGGAATAACAAACAACCGTTTGAGATTGACATCTCTTTACTATAAAAAATATAACACAAAACTCTGACACCACTCAACAAACATCAAGTAACAATTACGGGAGTCAAACAATTAATGCAGTCAACAGTTAATGGAGTCAAACAATAAAGGGAAGCAAACAATTAAAGGAAGCAAAACAATTAAAGGGAAGCAAACAATTAATGGGAGTCAGCAATTAATAGAATCAAACTAATAATTAAATCAAGCAGTTAATGGGAGTCAACAACTGATAGAATCAAACAATAAAAGGGGTCAGCAATTAATGGAATCAAACAGTAGAATCAAACAATGAACAGATATTTTCTACGACAGTGGCCCTGGGGGAAGGTTCTGTAACAAGGTGATCCACACTCAGGGTAGGGAAGCGTCCATTCAACTCCACACTCGAGCGACAGCGGCCGATTGCACAGACGGAGGAGATGAACTGACGGTCGTAGTATGCGGTAGTGGTAGATGACCAGAGAATTGACAGTCGATAGGTGAAGGTCTGGGGACACAGCCCACGAAACCAGGACCTATGATGAGATCACAGCCAGAATTTGACAAACAGCTGGGTAGCTAGATAGTGACTGTATGGCGGCTGGGGTGGATCTCCCGGTGACACAGGTAGTCGCTGCCGTTCTCACCTCTGTCCAACCTCCCCCAAGTGAGGGTCGCGCCAGCAAACGAGAGAGTTAGCAGCGGTAACGAGCAGGAAGATCGTTTCTGCCCTGACATCCATATATATTTCATTAGCCCATAAAGCCCGTGGACTTCTACATATAATCAACAATCTCACCCCGCCAGGACACGAACCCACGATCTTATGTGTGTGACGGGGTAACGCTACCTCTAGACCACCAGGACACTAAAAGCATTCCTAGACTTTGTTATATTTCACACAAAGGCTGTTCATCGAGCTTATGACGCAGTGAACCTCCAATTGGGGAACACCAGTGCCTCTTAGGTGATCAGAGTAACGTTTTACCAAATCTGGCTTCGAAACACGAGGTATGGTGGATGTCCTTGTGTGACCAAGAGCGGCGGTTTGCTGTACTCAGGATTTTTGTGAACATTGACCCAGTCACCTGACCTTGGAATCAGCTGTGTCTACTGTGAGCGACACACACACAAGTCTCCGGGATTGCGGCAACAATTTCACATTATCAAGAAATTCTAGAAAGGATTCTTCAAT